AGTTGGAGCATTGCTGGGTCAAGTGTATCGAGCTAAAAGGAGACTATGTTGAGAAATAAATCGCCACTTTTCCAAAATTTTCGTTTTTCTTTTGTAGGCTAAGTACTTATCGGACCGCCCTCGTATGTAGTAGCATTCCGCTGCACTATCCCCAACAGAAAATTTAAAGCTTGAAAGGAAAAAGACAGAATATCAGGCGGCGTCAACTGCCCGTGTACGGGCACGAGTCATTATAAATTTAAAGACACAAATCTGCTTATTTTGAGCAGGTGGGATTGTCTATCCGAATGAGATTGCATAATTGGAATCGAACTTCACGGTAAGTTCATTCAATTAATCAATTATGCAAAGTCTCGTTTGGATGGACAATCCCACCCACTCATTCCAAATAAATTTGACAGATTTGTAAGGAAAATAAAAAAACGAAAGGGAAAAAAACTTTTATTTATATTTCTGTGGACACAATTTTACGGAAAGAAAAAATTACAAGAGAGATCAAAAAATAGATGGATTAAGAGTTGTTAAGAATAACAAAATGAAAAAATGGATCTTTAATAATCAATCGATTGTAAAAACAACAAAGGATTTACTCCAACCCACGGTATGCCGAATCTTAAATTGGTACTCTTGATAGATGCGAAGAATATAGAAGCATATTTGAAAAAATAAAGATGAGCTGAACCCAGAACAAACTTGACTCAATGATTCAAAATCTGAGAAGAAAGAGCATTATGCAGAGAACGAAAGGAGATAAAGAAAGAATCACAATTAGTAGACCAAAGAAGCCGCGTGAGACCAAGAACTTAATTAAAGAGAAAATGCATAGTTCAGGTTTGTCTAAGAAAGGATTAAATAAGAGAAGGAGCTAAGACTTTCCGACGACCTAAAGTTTTAAGTTTAGCAGGATTTCTAATAATAAGAAAATTCAAGATGCTAACCTCTAAAAAAAAAACCTATATGGCTGCTAGAGTTTGCATTCTCTGGACGGATATCAGATAATAAATGTATAATCAACTTCTTAGAAATAAATTTAAGAGAGAAATAAAGAAATAATTATTATAAGGAAATAAGGACGCTAAATAAGCAATAACAAGGGATGGATCCCACACAAAGTCATAAGAGTATTATGCAGTACTATTTTTCTTCGTAGAATGCTTTTGACTTTGTTGTTTATTATCTTAAAAATAAATTTAAGAGATAGTCATTCCGTAATAATATTTCAATTATCATTGTTAAATTTTTTGTATGATATTTTGAATTAGAGAATAGAAGAGCTCGATCTACTAAACTAATGATTACTCATTAGTCAAAAGCATCAAAAGAGATCAGCAGAATCAAAAGCATTCTACGAAGAAAGACAGCACCACATAATAATTCAGAGAAGAAAGATGAATTATCAGTGTCTCCATTGTGATTCACTTTTATTCCATCTTTGACAGATCAATTCAATAAATTTAATAGAGACGACATCAAGGTATCTTTAATAAATAAATTCTTAAATTGTCGGGAATCATCAACCTGGAATTTGCGTTATTTAATTGCGTTATGTAATTTCTGTTTATATTGATAAGGACCCGAATTAAAGGATCGGAACGTTTATTTTATTCGTATTGTTATATTCACGTGAAAATAAAGAATTTTCTGTGCATCTGAACAGCTGATGTAGGCTCCGATGGACTTTTTTACATTTTACTGATACAAATCTATAAGATCAGTTGTAATGATTGTGATGCAACATAAGTGGGACAGACAGGCAGGCAACTAAAGACAAGAGTCAATGAACATAAAAATCATATTTGGAACACGTCAGTTCGATCAGTAATAACGGAACATAGGTTGCAACGAATATGATTTCGACTGAAACAACATTGAAATTTTAGCCATGTTACAATAAGAGTTTGATTTCAAAAATGTTAAACATCAAAAAACAAAATAATAGTAAAATCTACAAACAGATGCCTTCATAAAACTTATATTCCGATAAAAAAATCTGGCATTGCAATACTAAGATTATTTTATTATTCGTTAGTCAGTGTTCATCTGTCGTGACAGCAACATATACGTTTATCACGTGTCACATTTTAAATACATTTTATATAATAATTATTGTCTTTATACGTTAATTTTATATTATGACTAATTTTTTCTACTGTGATATCGTTATTATTTTACTAACTAACACACTGACGTTTATTAATATAGAAATTGACAAGCATCTTCTCGCGAAACTTAACTTTATGGTGAGTTATTTCTATCAGAATACGCATTTTTTCGATTTTTTTTTTTCATTTAATTTATTTTTAACTTGACTTTTTACCAGAACATCGAAAAATTTTAAACAACCATCGTCCGTTTATGAGTAATTTCCGTCTCTTTGTGAAATATCTCTTCCTCTTCCTTGAATTACGTTCTGATTTTCCCATTATATGAAGAGAAAACTAAAAAAGATTAGTAAAATTGTCACACGAGGAAACGTACAACAGAAAAACAATGAAGACTCGTACCCGCGTACGAGCATTTGACGCCGTCTGATAGTCAGCCTTTATCCTGTCAAGCTTTAAATTTCCTGTTGAGGATAGTGCAGCAGAATGTTACTACATATGTTCATCCGGACAAAACTTTGCATAATTTACAGCATAAAACGTACTGTATCAACAAACATTTCTTCACAAAAAAAGTATTATAATATATATTGTAATTAAAAATATACTACATTACCGCAGATAATATCAAGAGTAGCATTGACTATAAAAGGAAAAATATTAATGGCTTTCCCTGGATTGTCTCTCATTTTTTTTTCGAAACACTTTGTCAGGATCTCTGCTTTTTCAGATAGAATCACAGCAAATTGATCTAATATACTAAAATGAAACGTTGGCCCGATGAGTTTTCTATCATGAAACCATTGTTTATCTAAAAGCATTAAAGTATAGCGTACTTACGTAGAATATTGCAAAAAATAGAGATACAAAGTTAATTTAAAAAACAATTTTTAATTTTGTTATAGGTTTTGTTATAGGTTTAATTTTTGAAAAAGTAGAAATATTCTGTGTTTTCTTACTTTCAGATAAATTTTTCAATAAAAACGCCATTTTCCGTTTTTCTTAGAAAATGCACTGTAGAGTAGTGTATGTATGTATGTATAGAGAATAACATTATCTTTAATTAATAAAAGCTTCAAACAAATCTTAAGAAAAATCATTTTGCGACAACCCTTAAGTAAAACTCTAAACATGCGACATAAAGATATGTAATGATTTTGTTTTACCTGTAGATGTTAAAAGTCCATTGCCCAACCAAGGTTTCAGCATATCATAAGCAATTCCTTTTGTGATATGTACGGTGCTAGGAAAAATAAGCTGTAAATGTTTGAAACCAAACGTAATCTAATAATATCCAGAAATAAAATGTATCGTATTTTTTACTGATATAATGTACTTATATATTCATGCTACAATCAATTTTATTAGTTACAAACAAAAGATATTCTACGACTATTAAATCAATTAATTTATCAAAAGCAGTTTTATTAAATCTAAATTATTTTGCTACAATAACAAATCACTATTCTGCTGTAACTGTAACAATAAATCCAATTTGTCAAAAATAAATATTTTTTTTTTTTAATTTAATTTCTTTGAACAAATTTACACACTGTAAAATATTATATAATATATACATTTACAGTATACTTATAAAGAATGAATAATTGGTTACATTATAACAAAGAAAAAGTTAACTCTTAGTATTCATAATTATACTATTATTCATATCTTGTGCATTTCCTTTCTTTGAAATTCCAGAGCCCATATTTTGTACACATCTACCGACAGTTATTGATAATTAACGATAGCCAATAGCAAGAGCTATCCTAGGAAAAAAGCACAGTTCTCATTGACTATCGCTACTTAACGATACTGATGTCAGTAGACATATACAGAATATGGACCTCAATAGCGGAATTCTGTAACTCGTTATGTGCTCATAACGACTGCATAAAGAGTTACAGAATACAGGGGCAGCAGCGGAATTCTGTAACTTGTTATGCAATCGTTATGTGCTCATAACGACAGTTGCGCAGCTTTTTTACTTATGTTATCTATGCAATTGTCGTTATGAACGACTGTATAACAAGTTACAGAATACAGGGCCTCTATTCTATAACTCATTAAAGTCCGATTTCACAATATATGGTTACCTAAAAATAACCAAGATACCTAAAGATAACCAAGAAATTTATGAATAACTTTTATTGATGAATCTGCCAGTAATCTTTAATCTTTAAATAATCATATATTGTGAGAACGGGCCTAAGACAGTAACATCGTTGTGCTTTTTATATCATAAAATATCTACGCAACGATGTCGTTATACTGTCTTAACGAGTTACAGGATAGAGGGCCTGCAGCAGAATTCTATAACTCGTCATGTATCGTTATGAACACATAATAACTGCATAATAAGTTACAGAATACAGGAGCAGGAGAATTTGACTAAGTAATGATTTCTCTTTTTTTTTTAATAAATAATTTCATAAATACTTTTTTAAAAATATTAAATTATATGCAAGACTCGTCAATTTTAATATGGTTGTAAAAATTATGAAAATTAATTCGAACGAATTAACATGAACGAATCACTGTGTGTTTTAAAAAATCGAAAAATCATTATGTATACTAAAGGTTAATTACTACACATCATAATAGTAACAATGATAAAAAAAATCTTACATAATCTTTCTTCTTTTTTTAATATTTACTATTAAATTAAAATCCCATTTAAGAATGAATTTATGAGCACCGTTTTATGATGTTCGAAAATGTCTTATTTTATTATAAAAAAGTTTAATATAAAAAATACTATAATGTATTAAAATACTATAATACTGTAATGTATAAAAATACTAATGTTTTATCGTAATCACTGCTTCTATAATACATTAATTATTGTAAAAAAATATTACGGATGTTATTTTCTGTTAGTAAATGGATTTTATTTACCTCCAAGTATTCTGGCTTAAATATGGCTATAAAAGGTTTGGTTCCAATCTGGTACATGAATATTCCTTCTTTAAACTCCTCCATAAACAATAAAAACTTTTTTACGCGATCTAACAATTAGATTCATTAATTATTATACTAATAATTTATTAATTGTTATTTTTATTTATTTATTATATAAATTTAAGTATAAAATTTTTTATTTTGAGTCGTATGCAAATATATGTATATGAATGTTATGTAAAAGAATAAAATCTTATGTATAAAGTTCTTTATACCATAATCTGATAACTTCATAAACTCAAATGCAAGACCAATAAAAGGATATTCCTTGACTTCGGGAATATTTTTTAACTTTTGTCGAATAATATATTGATGGTAGATCATCGACAGAATTGAAAAAATCGCAACAACGCAAAGAGTACATAATGCCAAAAATATGAAATCCATTCTCATAAACTGTGAACATTTCAAATAATAGTTTATTAATTTATATATCATTAGATTTATTGAAATAATGTAATAATGAAATTATATATTATACAGAGAAAAGTTGTATTGACAATACTTTCATTATATATTAATTAAAAATATTTCTCAGAAATAAGTATGTCCAATTAAATAAAGACGATGATGCGTATATCAGAAAATATATATCAGAAAATACTATATTCCATATATTTAAAAATATATTTTATAATATTTAAAGTTAATGAATCATACCACCTAAAAACAATAAAATCAATAGGCTCCAAAAAAAATTCTAAAAAATAATAAATAAAATGCCAATTAAAGCTGACACTGGTTATTAGTGTATATTTTAATACCATCTATTCAAAGTAAATATTAAACGTATACGTTTCGACCTACGGTCAAGTTCCTCTTCAGTACAAAAGATATATTAACAAAATTACATAATAGTAGCGCATACGAGTATAAATTAATAACATAAAAAGTTAGTATATAGTAATAACATAAAAAGAGAGAGAAAAAACGTGGTAGTGATGTCCGAGTTAATCTTGGTCATTAAATTACTAAGTTAACTAGAAAGAAAAAATAAATTTTTTGTTTTAAAAAAACGACCGACCAAAGAGGTTAAAAAAAATTAAAAATGCTAACATGAGATTATACACAAAAATTGGTAAAAAACTTACATGACTATCAAGATTGAATGTTTTTATAAGATTTGCACATGTTCCATTAAACTGTTCGATTTACTGTGTAGTACAAATGTGAATAAATTAAAAAGTTAAGTAACAAATCAAAGGACTCTTTCTATACAAATGATAATAAGTAACGGGCAAAGTAAGAGTCAACACGTTTCTTTGAAATTAACAAAAGAATATATTTCAATTAACAGAGGTAATTTTACCTCTGTTAATTGAAATATATTCTTTTGTTAATTTCAAAGAAACGTGTTGACTCTTACTTTGCCCGTTACTTATTATCATTTGGTTTAAAAAGTTAATATAAATAACAGTAAAAATCTAATTTTAGTTCACTTACATGAAACAAAATTTTTAAGAGATTAGACACAACCTAACTGTTTGGTAGACAGATGTAAAATGAAAAGTAAGAGAAACAATGGACAACAGAACATGTACTTACAAAGACAATAAATAAAAATAATAAATAATAAATAAAAAAGTATGAACAGTATAGATTGGAAGCATCACGTCTCTGAAAATAAATCAATATATAACGAATCAAAAGAAAGTATATCGTTTTGTAAATTCAGGCCTTGTTTTTGTTTTTTAATATGTATCATCTCTGATAATAATCCTTTATGTAGAATTTGCTCTTTGTCTAAAATATGTACGTTGTCCCAATTAAAATCACGAAATAAGTCTATCCGATGTTGTGTGATAATCGAATGTTGAGTCGTGTTTCTATTAATATGATTTCTGTGTTCTTTTATGTCCGTTTTTAAGCATCTGCTTGTCTGTCCAACATACGATGCATCACAATCTTTACAGTCAATCTTATATACTATTATACATTAGATTGAGAAGATGGAGGTAGCACATCTTTCTGAACTTTAATAAATCTATTGAGCTTATTTATGCCTCTATAAATCATACATAAAAATGATACATTTTTAAAGAGCATACTGATTTTTGTGAAAATATTAGGAATAAATGGTATACAGAAAAATTTTTTATTATTGATATCTTCTTTGGTTGCCAATTGTTTATCAATAATAAAATCATCAGCACTATTAAAGGGATTAAATTTCTTGTAAAGATGAAAAAATTTATTTTTTTGGTAGTTGAAAATATCAAACTTAAAGGATTACCATTATTCAGAAGGATTTTTATAACTAAATCAAAATTCTTTTTATGAAAACTCGGATGAGAAAGTAATATAACTCTATCAATCAAACCAATAATCGTGCCAATTTTTTGACAGAGAGAATGCCATAAAAAAAAATTAAGAAAACAACCCGAAAATGTAAGTTTACGATACCAATCAAAGATAAGAGTCTCCTCTTTTTTTATCAAGCAAATGTCCAAGAAATTTAATGAGTCTCCATCAATTTCTATTGTGAATTGTAGTCGTGGATGGTAAGAATTGAATTTAGTAAAGATCAATATGAGCATTGTCAATAGCTAAAGCAATATTATCAACATATCTTACATAAAACAGTGATGTCACAAAAAGTTTATTTAACAAAAATAACTGTAAGTCCTCCATTACTAAATCCGCAAGTATAGAAGATAGTGGAGAGTTGGGTAAACCGAAAGTTTGTCTGTAAAATTTATGTCATTTTTTGTCATTAAACATAAAAAAAGTGGAATTCATAATTAATTTTAAAAAATTTCGTTTTTGAGATGTCAGTATTTTTTTCTATAAGGTATTATCTATTGGATATTTCATCCAGAACTAGATCTATCAGTGCGTTAGTAAAAAGTGATATTACGTCCAAAGATAAAAGAGAGGAATTGTCAAATTTGAAATTTTTTTAGTCAAAAAATAGCTATTAACTGTAGAACTCTTAGCTGGAGGTAAACTCTTATTGATGATCTTATGTAGGAAAGATGAGATAAGAAATTATGGAGTAGACTTCCAATCGATGATACTATAATCCTCAATGGACGAATTTTGTGGATCTTAGGTAACCCATAAGCTAGTGATAAATTTCATGTAAATGAACTAAAATTGTTTTACTATTATTTATATTAACTTTTTAATTTATCCACATTTGTACTACACAGTAAATGGAACAGTTTAATGGAACATGTGAAACAAACCTTATAAAAAGTTCAATCTTGATAGTCATGTAAATTTTTTATCAATTTTTGTGTAATCTCATATTAGCATTTTTAATTTTCTTTAACCTCTTTGGTCGGTCGTTTTTTTAAAACAAAAAATATTTTTTCTTTCTAGTTAACTTAGTAATTTAATAACCAAGATTAACTCAGACATCACCACCATTTTTTTTCTCGCTTTTTATTCTCGGTTATTAGTTTATACTCATATGTGCTACCATTATGTAATTTTGTTAATATATCTTTTGTACTGAAGAGGACCTTGGCCATAGGTCGAAACGTATACGTTTAATATTTATTTTGAATAAATGGTATTAAAATACACACTAATAACCAGTGTTGGCTCTAATTGGCATTTTATTTATTATTTTATAGAATACCATCTAAAGTTCGCGCATTTAGGTATAGTACAATGTGGTATAATATGTACTAAAGACGAAAGCTAATGATATCTCCATCCATGGCGTTAAATGATTTTAAATCCACACCAGAAGTGTGTCAAATCTACATCAACATTTTTTAGAGTGTAGGTAATTATTCAAGATAATGTATTTCATCAAAATAATCATAAATGAGATGATCCAAAAAACATTGTAAAGCTTAAAGTTTTTTTTCAGACCGATGTTTTAGACTGACAATCTAACTGATTTTTTATGAAGCTACGCGGATATAAATGAAGATCGATCAAATCTCAGAATTCGTTTACAAAACAAAAGTTTCATGACATAAAAATCATATAAAAGCGTTTTAAAATTTATTTTCAAAGAAGTCTTTATATTTATTTTTTTTTCAATATTGGAAAGTGGCTCAATGTTAAGAAGGTTAAGTAAAAAGGAGCATACAGCCACGCTACAGATGTCAAAAAGTTATAATTCAATAATAAACATTTTACATAGTAGACGTTTCGGTCACGATTTGACCATCCTCAGTACAAAAATAAAAATAAAATAATAACCTTAAACTATTTAAATCTAATTATTAAAATCTTATTCTTAATGTTAGTAATATCTCGCTTCTTCTTATGCGTTATTCGCATTGATGTCCGCATTTAACAATATAATGTTTTTGATACAATCAATTAACATAATTTTGAACGAATTAACGTTAGAATGTACAGAATTCCTCTTTTTTCTATCGTGTGGAATCATTTCCGATTGTAATTATTATCAGGCTGTCTCAAGTTCCAAAAAGGACGACGAACCGCCGCAGAGAGACACGTAAGTGGTAGTTTCTATTGTGAAGCAAATATTTTTTGAAAAAACCGTTTCCC